TTCCAGAATTAAGATATATTCGTGGATGTTATAATACTCAACAATACTTTAAAATATATAAAACTGCTCTTGATCATGGACATGTAGTTAATATATTAGCTGATTCTCCATTACGTGGAACAATTACACCACCATCACTCTCATCAGTATTTATTCCACTTCCAGATCCTAGTCTGGACTATATCCATCGGCAACAAACATTACCAAGATATTTCCTTGCAACTTCTGTTAAAGTTGACCAACCAATATTACGGTTTCAAACAACACTTAAAACAGAAACTAAAGAAGAGACTGGAACTGGTTTAATAAAGTCTAATCCAAGAAGAATAGTACCAACATTACACAATGACAAAAAGAAAGGTGTTTCATTACCTACATCATTAGAATCGTCACCTGGAAAAACAACAAGTTCTGCATCTAAATTACATAAATTAATGAAAATGGAAGAAAAAATAGAGAAAGAACGAGAAAAACAACTTGAAAAGGAAAGAAAGAAAGAGGAAAAACAACGAAAAAAAGAAGAAAAGAAAGCAATTAAAGCAAATAGTCGAGGAAGTAGTAAAGAACGATCTTTTGATAAGGCAGAAGAAAAATCAAAAAATTTAATCACATCAAAAAAAATAACAAGAAATTCTAGTAACATAAATTTAACAGGAAGTTTTAAAGATATTTATTCAGTTGGAAGTGTTCAAGAAGGAACAATTAATGAAGTCACATTAGCATTACCAAAAAGATCTGATTCTATGGGATCTATTAAAAAGAAAAAATGGGGATTTTCTTTTTTCCACAGGGAAAAGAAAGACAAAAAAGATTCAACAAGTCAACAAGATTCTCTCAATTCACATGACTCTGAAATGTAAAAAACATCAAATTTCATTTGTATTCTTTCATTTTCAATTTATTTTTATTATGATATTTAGAATAAGTAAAAAAATATCAAAAAAATATATTCAAAATTTTTGTTATAGTAATGAAAAATAATAACGAATTTTTTCAACTTTTAATAAAAAAACCCAATTTAACTCAAAGAGTTAGATAAGTTTTAAAATCTGCTTTTTTATTTGAAATTGGTCATAACTGGTTCACCTGGAATAAGTTTTTCATCTGGTGTCTTAATACTAGTAACAATTACTTTTTCAAGTTTTAAGACATTTTTGATGTAGGTTATTTGTGATTCAAGGAATGATACTTCATTGAATTGAAGAGCAAGGTCAAGAGCTTTTAATCCACTCTTTTTAACATTTTCAACAAGCATCATAGCAAATGACATAGCCTTTTTAGAGTTCTTTTTGATTAATGCATTAAGACATAAACGAGAGGCAAGTTCTTTTTGTGGTGGGAAAGTTGGGACATCACCAACTATAGTAACAATTTCTTTTAATACTTTAGCACACTCCAATTGCCAATCTGGAGTAATTGTACCAACCATAATTTCAGCTTCTTTTGGTGGTTCATTAACTATAGCCTTTTGTCCTTTCTTTGGTTTTGGATGACAATAAGACTCAACACTAGATCTAAATTTATAAACAATTTTAGCAAGATATTCTGCTTCATTAAGAATTTGTACATTTGCTTCTGGAACTTCTGGGAATCTCTCATTCCATAAGAATGTTTTATTACCTAAAAGATCTCTCCAAACATAATCACAAAAATGTGGAGCAATTGGATAAAGTAACTTGATTTGAATTTCAATATATTTCTTAAGTAAATGAGCATTCATTGGAATTCCAACAGTTTCACAATAAGCAATATAACTATCACGTGCAAGAGTTAATTCATAAAATCCTTTATGAAGAGCTTCACGGAATAACATTTTAAGATATGCAGCATCAGTGGCATGGACACTTACATTAATTTGAGCTTCAAATGTTTTATCAGCAAATGTATTTGGCTCATCATTACAACACTTGTTGTCTTTGATTAATTGAAGTGTTTCTTTAATCCATTGAAGTAATGTATGAAGTCTCAACAATCCATTATCTGCAGTTTCTTTTGCAAAGTTAGCATCTTCTACACCATCTCCAGCATCAGCAAGACCAATTCTCATTCCATCTGAAGTATACAATTCAATACCATCAGTAAGAGACAAGAAATTACCAGTAGATTTAGCCATCTTTTCATTATTAATCAATAAATGTCCATTGGCTCTCATTCCTTTTGGGAACTTGTCTTCACCAAACATAGCTGTGTGTGTATAAAGACAGAACAAACAATGATTTGTTAAAAGATCTTTACCTGTTACTCTAACATCAAATGGATACCAATATTCGAATTCTTGTTTCATTTTAGTTAAAGTCTCTTTTGGAATAGTTGTATTTTCTGGTATTTCTTTTTCTGCAAACAAATAATCCCAAACCTCAGGTGTCATTTGTTCTGGTGTAATATGTCCAATTCCTTGTTCTGATCCATTTAAATTACCTTGAAGGTAATGTGCAATAGTATAATAAGCCATATAAATGGTAGAATCAGAAAGTGATTCAATGAGATATCTTTTATCCCATGGGATTAATGTTCCAAGTCCGAAGTTTCTACTACAAGCCCATTGATTCATCCAATTCAATCCATGTTTTAAAGTTTCACGAGTAGAATTATGATATGTCTCCATTTTTTCTACTCTCTTGAGTGTTTCATTTTTCCACTCTTCTTCTCCATATGTAATATACCATTGATCACATAATGATACAACACATTCATCTCCACTTCTAGATATTACTGTTGATGTTGGTTCTGAATATACAAAAGCTTCTCCATTTTCAATCATTTCTGCTTTAATTGGGACTTTAGCGTCTTTAATTTTTTGTCCATTATATTTACCAACAGTTAAGACACCATTATAAAATCCTTGTGTATACACTTTTTCTTTAGCTTGGTCAAGAAGTTTTCTATCATTTGGTGATTTAATTTTAAGTTCATGACAAGCAGTCTCAGCAGCTCTTCTTCCCATTTCTGGAATCTCACAAATTTCAATAAGTTCAAATGGCATAACCCATTCATCAGCAACTCCCATTTTCTTTCTATATTCTGGTTTATTTTTAAGTGTGTAAACATTCATATAATCATCTGGAGAATCAGATGGAACAGAAGTAACAATACCAGTTCCTTTATCTTCTAAAATAGTAGTCATTGGAAGTGTGTAAATCTTATCATATGATGTTAGTGGTGCTTTAAGAGCAGTTCCTAATAATTCACTTCCTTTAACATTACCAATTGAAACTGCTTTATAATCTACAGGTGTTTCTTTAAGAAGTTCTTGATAAACTAAATTATTTCCACATCTCTGAGTACAAACTGCAATTTCTCCATTTTTCATTTCAAATAATTTATAATTAATATCTGGATGAATCCAACAATTTGTTTGTCCATACATAGTTTCTGGCCTCAATGTTCCAGCAATTAAGAAAATTGATTTACCTTCTTTCATTAATTTATTAATTAATTCACTTTTACTTTCAATTACTTTCATTTTAATAGCAACATATTCTTGTGGAATAACTCCTTCTCCACTAGCACGGTCATGGTCAGCACATGGTTGTCCATCAAGTGGTGAATAAATAGTATATCTTTTACCAAATTGAATTTTACCCATTTCTTTTAATTTAAGGAATTGCCATCTAATAAAACTATCAAAGTATGGATTATGATCAGTAGTAATAAATGATCTTCTCCAATCAACTGCAACACCCATAAGTTTAAGGTCTTCAACTCCTAATGGTGGGAAGTATTGAAGCCAATGAAGTGGATCAACAAATTTAGGAATTTCTGATTCTGGAATACCATTTGATTTAAGAATATCCCATTGATGTTTACCTCCTTTTTGTTTAGTTTTGGCTTTAGCAGATCTATGTACATCAAGTGTTTCTACATTTACTTTTTGTGTTTCAACTGGTTTAGATTCTTGTTCAACTGGAAATACTGGTGGACATCCATACTTTTCTATTTCTGTTTTAAGTTTATCAGCACATGCTTTAATAGGCATACCAGTACAATGAAATCCAAATGGGAACATTACTGCTTCTCCTTTTAATTTATGATAACGTGCTGCAAATTCTGCTTTAGTAACTGTAAATGTATGTCCTAAATGAAGTCTACCATTCATATATGGGAATGGGAATGTAACCATATACTTCTTTTGATTTGGATCAATAGGTCCAGTTTCATACAAATGAGCATCATTCCATTGTTTGTTTAATTCAGTTTCAATTGCAGCGAGTTCATCTCTTTTAGCAAATGATTTTGGTTTTTCTTGTTTTTGTTGTGTGTGAGTTTCAGCAGACATCGATGTAACTGAACTAAAACACTCAAGGTTTAAATAAACCCTAATTTTATTTTATATAGAAAAAGAAAGAAAAGATGATGGTATGTATTGTTTATTCTTCTTTGAAATATCATCATTTTAAAAGAATTTAACCTTGAAATTCATCGATGAATAATTTGAGTAATTTAGAAACGAGGAACAGATGCCCTTCCGTTGTTTATAAGAATCAAAATCATAGAAGAAAATCCACCAAAAATTGTTGCCCAAAGAGAATAGAACGGAATAATTTCTGTTGATAATTGGTTTGTTTTAAAGTAATTAAAAACTACTCCTATTATAACACCAATAACTACAACTGCAAACAAATATCGTAATATAACCAAAAGCTTATTTGTTACCACTGTCTTTGGATCAAATTTACACATTGCTGGTGTTATAACATCAAAATTGATAGTACAATGATCTGGTTGTGTTACAGCTGCAGCTTGAGTTTGTCCACACCTTGTAACAACAGTAGTTTTGAAATTTTCTTTACCACAAGATTCTCCAGTATATTGGTATGTTATTGTTTCTAAAAAATAAGTAATAAAATTGGTTTAAACTATACCTATTAATTCTTCAAACTCTTTAATGTGTCCGTTGAAATTTTTTGTGTTTCAACATTGGCAATGTAATAATACACATTCTCAATTTTTGCTACACCATTAATTCCATTATCAAATTCTGGTAGTGATGAACATATCTGTATAACATATTGATTATCTCCAGATGATGCTGTTACTTTGGAATATGGTATGTAAGAATAAATACTATTTCCATCGATCGAACATTTGGGAATTTTAACAGCACAAACAATGCTAACAAATAATAAGAACAACATACTAAAAATATTGTATTTTTAAGATCTTTTTTATTTTTACTTTCTTTCAAAAGTATTAAACAAAACTAAAACATCTTGAAACAATCAAAAAAAAAAAGAAAAATATAACAAAAGAAAGAGAAACCAATATCCAACAAATATAATGATAGAAAAATCTGTGAAAATAAGTATTATTTGTATTGATAGAAATACATTAATTATCATATTAAATATTATCATAATAACTATCACTATAACTATTATCATAACAACTAAAATATTAATGGTGTGAATCATTTCAATTATTTTCATCACATAACTATTTTATTATTAATTTAAACAGAATCAATCAACATTATAATACAAATAAATATTATAATAAAACACAATGATGATATAAATAATATCAAAATAATGAACAAAAACAAATAAGAAATAAAGGAAATAATAGAATTTAAACAATTAAATATTGTACGACAAATTTATTTAATACGTTATGTATTTATCATTATCATTTTTAATTCTTATTACATGATTCAACCATTATTATTAACAATTATTTCGTATTATTTAATTTTTACACTTTCAATTATTATATTTTTTTTATAACACGAATAATTTAAACACAACAAATGGATAAAAACATTATATATGATTCAAAACAACATTAAAAATACACACAAAAATAAAATATTTTAACCGTGTTTATTACCCTTTCCATAAAAATAAAATTATTATTATAAAATGGTCAGATGAAATAGAATAAATTTTACAATAAAAATGATAGTTATAAGTGATAATGAAAGAAATGAATTTTTATAGTAAATTGAGTATAATAAAAACCAATTATGAACAATATTCTCTATTTTACTTAACAATACTTTTTAATGATAATATTTTAATTAAATGTTTTTCAATAACCCAATTTTATTATTATTGTTATTTGAAAAGAATAAACGATCTACTGTTCTTTTTGTTTTCATTTATTTAAATAATTTCAACACAATGATTTATATTATCTTACCACTCTAAAAATAAATGAATGAAAGGGAAAATAAACTGATAAGATTATAAAACAAAAGAACTCAAATAAATACATGTGCTGTTTATTACTTTTATTTATTTCATTTTCTATTGGTGAGTTTTGTCAAAAAGAAAATGAGAATAGTATTATGTTTTATGCAAATTTTACATGTACCAGTTCCAATTTAACGTCAGGTGTATTAACAGGATACTAATTATTCATCAGTTGTTATATCAATTTATGACTATAGTGATGGACTTATTGTTGGTTCGGTTAATCCATTTAAAGCAAGAAAAGTTATTGTACAAACAGAAGAAATGAGTACTAGTTATTCTTATCTCTCCTTTGTAAATATTGAAACAAATTTTAGACTTGAATTGGTCAAAAACTCTTATTCATTTGAAAAAGTTTATTTTATTTTCTACAATGGAAATAGTCCAACAAGAATAATTGGAGGTGTTGGAGGGTTGTTAGTTAGTGGAAATGATTTTTATGATTATAATTACCATTTACCTATTCAACGTACTTATATTAATTCAAATCCTACTACTTTAATTGCTGATTTTAGTTATGTTAATTATGGTATATGGTATTTAATATCGTCATGCGAAGCAGTAATTAATCAAGTAACATCACACCCTCCAACAATGTCAAGTTATTATTTTAATCAAACATGTGGTGGAATGGTTCGTTATTTTAGTTATTATTGTATTGAAATTCATAATATAACAACAGAATGTAATCATCAATTTACAAAAGATGAAGAAGATGATTTCAATTTATTTATTATTACTATCACTGTATCTTTATCTTGTTATAACTGTCAACTATCGTTATCAACAAATAATTATATTATTAGAAATAACTATAAACCATCAAAGACTCATGAAGTATATACATATCCTAATCAATGGCTAAAATATGAATCATCAAATCAAATAAAGTTCGATGTTTATAGAAAGAAAGAACCATATCAAATAATCAAATTCAGTTTAACAATTGAACAATCAAATAAAGGAACAACATTAATTAAAGAAATAGAAAATAATGATAAATCAATTTCAACAGTAATTATTTCTTCTTCAAAACCTTTATATGTTTTAGGTGATGTAAAATTTTCAAAAACAACATTAACAACAAAGAAAAGTCAAATAATGATTATTAGAATGAATGGCGTTAGATTTATTAATGGTGTTAATGATTATCATTGTGATATAATGATTTACAAAGAAGAAACAAGAGAATGTATTCAATGTGAAAAAGGATATTATTTAAATTCAAAACAAGAATGTCAAATTGGTTCACAATGTAATAAAACAAATAAACAAAATCATTGTATTGAATGTGAATATGGATATTATTTAAATTCAAATAAAGAATGTCAATTATTACCAGATAATTGTATTGTAAGATATAAAACGTATTGTTATCAATGTAAAGAAGGATTTATTAAAGAAAAAGGAGAATGTAAAGAAAAAGATAATAAATGTAATAAATCAGAAAGAAATTATTGTTTAAAATGTTCAAATGGATATAAAATACAAAATAATCAATGTAATGGAGATAAAGAAGATCAATGTTATTATGAAGGAAATGAATGTGTATCATGTTCAAATAGATATACATTAAATAATGGAAAATGTTCAAATAAAGAAAAGAATCAAAATGGAAAGAATGAAGAAATATATTGTGAAAATGGAAAATACATTGATAATAATAAATGTATAAAATGTTCAAAATCAGAAATATGTCAAACAAATGATATTGAAATAAAATGTAAATATGAAGAATATTTAGATAATAATAAATGTATAAATAAAACATGTGAAAAAGATATGATAAAAGATCAAAATGGAAAATGTAATAATAATATTTCATATTGTTTAAATAAATCATATGTTAATGGAAAATGTGTTGAATGTTTAAATACATATTCACCTAATTTGAAGGGAGAATGTATTAATACAAAAATAGAATATTGTGAAGAACAAAATGGACATGGATGTAAAAGATGTAAAGAAGGATATTATTTAACAAAAGACATGAAATGTTTAAAATGTGATGATAAATGTGAAACATGTTATGGAACATCTACATATTGTATGAGTTGTTCTAATGATAAATATTTAAGAAATGATAAAACATGTCAATCAAATAAAGAATTAAATGGAACATGTTTACGAATATTAGCAGATGGAAGTGGATGTGGAATATGTCATAAAGGATATTATAGAAATGGGAAAGGATGTTCAAAATGTGAAAAAGAATGTTTAACATGTAATCAAAAAGATAAATGTATAAAATGTGGAGAAGGATATTTTATGAGTTCAACAGGAATATGTAAATCAACAACAACAATTAAAGGATGTAAAGGAGAAATAGATAAAGAATATGGATGTAGAGAATGTTTAACAGGATATTATTTAATAAATAAAGAATGTTCAAAATGTGGAAAACAATGTATAACATGTTTAAATGAGAAAGAATGTAATAAATGTGAAGAAGAATATATAATAATAAATAAAGAATGTATTCATTATTCAAATATTAATAAATGTAAAGAAACAAAAAATAATAAATGTTCAAAATGTTCATTTTGGTATGGAATCAATGAAGACGGAACAAAATGTAATAAAGAAATCGTATGGTGGATGATAATGATAATTATCATCATTATACTTATTATCATCATTATAATAATTATAATTATAATAATAATAATGATTAATTACATTATAAAACGTAAAGAAAAGAAAGAACAAGAGAAAACAACAACAATATTTAAAATTTCACAATCAAATATCAAATTCATATCACTTGGAGATGGAATCATAACAAATAAAAAAGAAATAGAAATAGGAGAAGGAGAAGAAATTGAAGTAAATAAAGAAATCAGAGAATTAATATGTATTGGAAATGAAAAGAAAGAAAAAAAGAAAATACAAATAAGTAGTAAAGAAGAAAATGAAAAATACTCAATTAGAACAAACCCAAATATCATTACAATTGAAGGAGGATATGCATGTGAATTTGAAATATTCATTACAATCAAATGTACTACTAAAATTAAAGAACAAATAATGATAATTAGTAAAACACTTAATAAAATACAAGAAGAAATAATTAAAAGTATTTCAATTAAAGGAGAAACACAAATATCAACACGACTTGATCCCGATGAAATAAAAGAAGAACATAAAATAGGAGAAGGATCATTTGGAATAGTATATATAGGAGAATTTAGAGGGAATCAAGTAGCAATTAAAAAAATGAAACAAATTGATAAAGATGAAAATAAAATGAAAGAATTTGAGAAAGAAGTAATGATGTTAGATAAATTTAGAAGTGAATATATCATTCATTTTTATGGAGCAGTATTTATTCCTAATAAAATATGTATGATAACAGAATATGCAAAATATGGATCAATACAAGATTTAATTAATAAAAGAACAAACACGGAAATACCAAATAAAATAAGAATTAAAATCATGATAGATGGAGCAAAAGGAATTTCATATCTTCATTCAAATGGAATACTACATCGAGATATTAAACCAGATAATTTTCTTGTTGTAACACTTGATGATAATATTGGAGTTAATTGTAAATTAACAGATTTTGGAAGTTCAAGAAACATTAATATGATGATGACAAATATGACATTCACAAAAGGGATAGGATCACCTATTTACATGGCACCAGAAGTACTTAATCGAGAACATTATAAAATGGAATCAGATATATATTCATATTCAATAACAATGTTAGAGATTATTACATGGCAAAATCCATTTCCTAAAGAAATATACAATTTTCCATGGGATATTGCAGAATCAATCACATCAGGTAAACGACCACCAATAATACAAGAAGTTGAAGAAGATATTAAAGAAATTATTGAAAAAACATGGAAACAAGAACCGAAAGAAAGAATAAGAATAGAAGAAGTAGTAAAAATGTTAGAAAGAATTGAAAATAATAATTCAAAATAAACATAAAACAAACAAGTAGAATTGATACATTTAATTTTATTGACATATTTTATCTATTTTATTTAATTACAAATAATGAAATGTACAATAATTAAATTAAAATAGAATACATTCATTCAAAATAACTATATAATAAACAAAATGAAAAATAGAAGAATAAAAAGATACTAAATAACAAGAATGAATATATAAGTATAAATTATATTATAATGAATTTGTTTTGATTATATTCATTTTATTTTCTTTTGAATATGTTTGTTATTAGAATTACTAATTGATTTGTGAATGATAGAGATATTAATGAAGTGATGTATTTGTTATTTTAATTTTATAATCGATGTTATTCTTATCTTCTTTTCTTTTAATTATAATTTTCGTGTTTATCATATAATTTAATTAATTTCTGAATTAGGAGATGGATTAATGTCATAAGAATGAATATGCATTAGAATTAATAAGAATAATAATATATTATGAATGGAAATAATGAATTCAGAGATGATGAAAATGAATAAGAATGGAATCGGGAAGAGATTTTATAAAACATGTAGCAAGAAAAATAATAAAAATAAACTTAATGACATATATTTATTGTCACAAAATAAGAATGAACCATCTATAATAATAAAATACCAAAACAGTAAATTTAATGAATTATATATTTACATATTAATAAATGGAAAATAAATAATGTAAGTAGCCATTTAATAAAATACTTTGAAAATGAAATGACTGATATGAAATTAACAATTAAAATATGGAAGAATATTAATATAAAAAGAATGAAAATAGATTGAGAATAAAAATATAAAATAAATATAATGAATGATGAAGAAATAGAGAACAAAATAAAATTCATCATCAATAAAATAAATAAATCAAAGAAGATATAAAATAAAGAAATGAACAATATATTGAAACATAGAATAATTAATAAAAGTCAATATACTTATATAGATAAAAGAAATAAAAATAATAAAAGGTAAATCCAATATTTAATAATAAACTAGAAATGGATAGAATTGACCGAGATAAAATAATAGAAAATAATAAACGTGAAAGACTAAATGAAACATTGAGACGGATAAATTTATAAATATATCTAAAGAAAAGAGAGTAAAAATAAATAATTCCCAAATCAAAAAATAATCAACTAACTTAATTTTATATTGTACTGTAAAGCCTTAGTTATCATAAAATATATATTACATAGGATATTTAAAAAATAACCAATTTCATTTACCTTGGCCTTGAGGCCTTTTTATTCTGAACATAGTAAGAGAAACTCAATAATCAATAAAAAAATATTAGAGATGTCAGATAAAGATTAAAAAAAAGTTAATGAAGAAAAACTAAAAATGACTATTAGATTAAAAGATTATCAAGACAACATTATTTATAGAATGATTAAAGAAAAAAAAGAAATAAAAAATAAATTGAAAATAATAAAAAAAATACTTTAAATTGATTCTCAAAGGAATTTAAATTAAGTTATTGTGAGTGTAAGGAAGAAACCTCCGTTTTAAATTCGTTTAAATTTGAATGCCTGCAAACTTAGTATTTTCTTGAGCAGAAATAGTAATACTATTCATTACATTAGTGAAAATAGTTATTTGAGCGTCATCCAAATATTCTTTATTTTCATTTATTTCATTAATTATTTGAGTAATTTTGTCAGGTGTGATTTGATCAAGTAATGGGAAGAAATAAATGTAATGATTGATAAACATGATTAACAGTTTCTTTTTTTCTTCTTCATCAATAATTCTTTCTATTTCATTTCTTGCTTTATTAAGAGTATCAATACAATGATCTTTATCTTCTACATTACTATTATTTTTAATATCTAAACTAGCAATTTTGCACATCATTTCA